CTGAGACGTCTTCAGGTGTTCGACAATCGTTGTCTAAGAACCATAGCTCGTGTGGGTTGGTGTCGGCGAATCCGTAACGAGGCAGTTAGAAACGTGTTTTCGGTTGTGTAACGGGTACTCCATTGAAGAAATGTGTCCAGCACCAGCTGCCAACCGATGTCAGTGGCGTTCTTGTTGTCAGTTTCTATCCAGATTGTCTGAGTGAATGTCTGGAGGTGTAGGCACCTCGGAATGATTGTGTTAAGCTAGCACTAAGTCCCTTCCTCGTCCACCTTTACTCTTTTCTTTACAATAAGGCTTTCAAATAAATCATGGTTATACGGCAGTGAAGCATCAGTGTTGAACACTGATGTCATGCTGTCGATGATGATGATGATTGTCTCCAGAGGCTGTGTTGCAGGAGGCCAGCTAACCTGTTCTCCGAAGTGGTTGATCATTCATTCTAGTCTGGAGTTTTTCGAGTGAATCAATGAGCAGTCTTTTTCACTTATCGCCTCATTGACCGTCACTTTCTTTTACCTTCTTTCTTCCAGAGGCTGTGTTGCAGGAGGCCAGCTAACCTGTTCTCCGAAGTGGTTGACCTATCATTCTAGTCTGGAGTTTTTCGAGTGAATCAATGAGCAGTCTTTTTCACTTATCGCCTCATTGACCGTCACTTTCTTTTACTAGGCTTCTTTCTTACTATTAGAGCACGGCTATTTTCTGTGGCAGAAGTCTTCCCCACTTTTTGAGCTTTCATTTTCCATCAAAGCCCTCAGCCTTTCCTTAAATTCTTCCCTAGTTGGCGTCTGAGAGATTTGTGTGCGCCATCGTACTCGTTGCCTTCTAACGTGGATTTCCTAGCCTCAGTGAGGATTAGTGATTTCGATGATATCCAACCGTCATTTGATTGCACCGGAAAAGCGGATGGGTAGCTATAAAACGAACACCAAAAAGCAGTTCCATATTTCCCATAGTTATCCGGGCCTTCCATCAGACAGGGAGACGGAGACTGGAAACCGGGCAGTGCACTACTTGCAGCTTCACCAGCAGTGTACACCGTTACAATGACAGTTCTTCGAAGATGACATATGGGTATGTTTGTTGCTGGCTCATGAGGACCTTCTAGCACTTGTAAACTGCTCTTTTTCATGCTCAGTATTATCTTCTTTTTCCCCATCAT